CAGCAGTGGTGGTGGGGGAGCAGCTGTGCTTTGTAAACCAAGATTTGTAACTTTACACACCTGCTTGGGAGTGGGGGCGGGGTCAGGCAGGGACATGCTGGAGGAGAAGGGCAAGATAGGGACAAAAAGCAACAACAGACCTGGGGTGAGGCAGGAGTTCTATCTCAAGGGAGTAGCAGTGACCCAGCTCTGGCTGATGGTTGCCAAATGAATCTAGACCTAATGTTGCCAGAACTTTTTTTTTTTTTTTTTAGGAACATGCATTAGAATTTGTATGCAGAATCTCTCAATTTTAAAAACACTGAATGCCAAAAAAATGGATTTGAGGACTAGATCCATAGATCATTATCTGTGAACTTGAAAACTGTACAGTAGTGGGAACCTGTTTAAAATCCGATTTTTTTTTAAGTAAATCATTCCATTTCTAACCTCACTTTTATTCTCATTGTTTTATGGATTGACTCTTTCTTCTGTAGGTTGCCTTGCTAGAGGAAGAAGAAGAGTTCTTGATCCCTGGAGACACTAGAGAATATGTTAGTTTATTCTTGTGGAGTTTCCTAAGCTTTAAGGAGTTGATGTGCCAGGTGGGGAAGTTGGCCTGGGGAAGAGTTTTGAGCTGGAAAGAACCTTGCCTGCTATGTTATATGGTTTGATTTGCCAGAGTCCAGCAAAGCTCTGTACCAAGCTGGTTCACCAGGGTCAGGGTCCATGGGGTGGGTGTGGAGGTGGAATGGAGGAGGGGAATGTCACAAAGGAACACGGGTACAGAACTGACAGAGTTCCTGGTACACAATGGTCCTGCGAATGTACAGAGTGTGTTATCAGGAGAGGCACAGGGTAGGAAGTATTTAAGGTAAGAGGTAGGAGGGAACTGAGAAGAGACTGGAATTTTGTCATGAGAGAAGGAGGTGCTGAGAGTCAGAACTGAGTAAGACTGATTTATCCTCATGCTCTTAGAAGCTGCTAGATTTTGAGATGAAATTTTGGCCGTGGAGCCAGTGGGTATATCTGCTACGCCGCTCCTTCATTCTCATGACTTTAGAGCATGCCAAAGAAGAAGAACTATCAGAGAGAAAGGAGAAAAATGCTGTTTGGACAGAAATGTACTTAATAGAGCCCAGAAGTGATAAGGGGCTCTATTAAAATGTATGAATGCTAAATTAATATATGCCAAATTGAGCTGCACCAGGTTAAGCTTATTTTCACATATTTTCTTTGACAGTCTCCTTAGTTCCTTTCCAAATTTATTGTATAAGACAGCTTGTGATGCCTTCTCCAGGACGGAGAAACAGCAAAATTCCTCAAACAAAAACAAATGAAATATCAAAAGCTTGTAAGAGCAATTTCTTCAAGCTTAAGACATCATATCATCATACTATCTAGAAATAAATAGAAAACAGAAACAGAGAATTGTGAAAAATACCTTTGTAAAGCAAATATAGTCCCACCTAATTTATGTGTTTTGTGAATCTGATTTTGGGATTTCTTAAAACAGGACACACCTGTACCCTATCAAGACCTCGCCCCAAAGTGAAACAAGTTAGAAATGAATGAGCATGAGCAATTACCTCCACACCATACTATCTATGTGGGTTTCCTATTTTGTGTTAGGCGTTGAATAGAGTCATAGTATGTTAGAGTAGAAAGGGAGTGTTGATATCCTTCATTCTGTCCTCTTCAATTTGCAGACAAGGACACTGAAGTCCAAAGAGTTAGAGGGATCTGTCCAAGTTCACATGGTGTTTAGGATGACATTCTCGATCTTATCCAACATCTAGTCCCTACTTCTTCTTCTTCTTAACATAATTCCAGTTTGGGGACTTAACCTACCCAGTGCGACTCAGCTTTATCCAATGTGACACCATTTCTAGCTCTAGGGTGGTTCCTAGTTAGTCTAAGCCAATTAATGCATGACATTCTCCTGGCAACTGCTATTGATCCAGTGGTGAGTAATGACCTATGGTGGCCCAGCTAGACTTATATCCCATGCTTGGGGGAGAAGACTTTCTCTCTTCTGCATGTAGCCTCCATTACCATTGGGAGCCATCTTTTCATCATGCAGGTGTCCAACACAATTAGAGCACAGCCCAATCTCTACTAAGTGAAGTATGCTTTCTATTGTACCACACAATTACCTCAGAATTCCCAGTAGGCTAGGCTTGTCCACTGAGCATCTGGGCAAAAGAAATGTTTCCAACTTTTCCAGGTTGCTGAGTAGAACTGGTGTGTAGCCATAGAATGGCACTGAAGGAATTTCTGTGGTTCTGTCTTTGGTGATTGAACCTTATGCTGGCTCCTAGAGCTGTGAATTGTCTGCACTTGTATATGGCTAATGAGACAGAAGAGCTAGAAACTACTTGAACTAGCCAAGACATTTTAGTTTTAAGTGACAGATGATACAATTCAAGCTGCCTAAATAAGAAAAGGAACATATTGGTTTAAGTAAATGAAAAGTACTTGGATGTGTGACTCCATCTGCGGGCTTATATGATGTCACCAGGACCCTGCCTCTAGTTACTTCTTGGCTGTCCTATCATCCACATTGGCTTTATTTATTCTCACATTCCACATGGGGGGAAGATGGGGGCAACAATTCCAGACACACTTTCTCCCCTGCTCAAGACCAATGGAAAAGATGTGGGTCTCTTTTCTCAGGTGATGCAAATGCCTTAAAAGTTGGGGTACCCACTACGGGGTACAAACACTTTGCCTCTCAAACAGGAGCTCAGGGTTTTGAGTCCCCTCCTGATTGTGGGTCGCTGCACTGGGGATGGGTTTATGGCGGGATTTTGCCGCAGCCTTTCCTATGGGCTTTGATGTTTCCTTCTCATGAGCCTGATGTTAAGGGGTCGCTTTGCCAGTTCTTAGTTTTTCTCCAGAAGAAATGGCTCCATATATACTGTATATAGCTGTAGATCCACTGTGTCCATGGAAGAGGAGGTGAAGTCAAGCTCCTTCTACCTCACCATCTTGAACCAAAACCGCTATGCAAATATCATCTTGCTTCTCATTGGCTCTGGTTGGATCCCATAACTATTCTTGAACCAATCACTATGGCAGTGCCCTGAATGGCCAGGCCTTAATTACATGTCTCTCCCTGAACTGAAGAAGGTAGACTGTGAATGGCGGCTGATCACTAGAGGAAAATTGCTGTTCTGTTACCCCAGAGACAGTGAATAGGTGCTGGCTGTCCAACTCAATACCAACAAGCTTTTCTAAATTGGCAGATATTTTTGGTGTATATTGTGCAAAGAGCAGAGAATTTGAAATCAGAAAACTGAGATTTCAGTTCCAGCTCTGAGACTCAGCTCCGCAATTGTTAAGTGGGAAAGGATATCTTGACCCAATTTGATCCAGGTGTTCTTCTGAGGCTTCAATGAGATCCTGTATAGGGAAGTAGCTTCTAAAATGTAAGGGCTAACCCAAAATGAGGGATTGTTGTTGTTGTTACTATTATCATCTTTTCTGAATTTTTCCCACTCATGCTCTGATTATGTTGAAATGCTCTTTCAGGCAAAACATGAAGAGTAAATGAATCATTAGCAACTAGAAAGAATTTGGCCAGGGTTTCTGTAAACATATCTAGTATCTTTATGAGAATCACAAACTCCTCTCTCTACCTCTGGGTGGTACAGTTCCCAGGGTACATGGCTTGGTGAGTGGATAGAATCTTTTTGAAAAAAAAAATCACCCCTTTTTCTAGTTAGACACACCTGCATGCTAGGTTGCATGGCTTGGTGAGTGGAAAGCATGCTGGATTTCAACTGTCGCTCCCTCCTTGGCAGGAGGTTGGGCGGGCAGAAGTGGGGAGATGTCCTGTGCAGTGCACAACCTGCACAGCTGTTCTCTGTGCCCTGATTTTGGTGATGAACCAGTGAGCAGGTTGAACTCTGGAAGCCTAACTCCTTGTTTTTCTGGCAAAGTTCATGTAGCCCTCTAAGAGCATTTTCCTGAGCATTTTCACTTCATGTTGAACGCAGCAGTCATGCTGTCTTTTTGAGTTAACTAACTCACTGGCCTCCAGATTCTGCTGGCTTTTCAGATGCTCACCGCATACCATTCCAACTTCAAGGAAGAGAATCCTGCCTTTTTAACCATCCTGAGGAATGACGTTGCAGAGGACAGCTAACCCTTTACAATGAAGGCGGTGCGTTGGTTGACCACAGTTGGCTGTTGCTGGAAAGTTATATGCTGATTTCTCTGAAATGCCCAGGAAGAATGGATGGAAAGCACAGGCGCTGTCACCTAGATTGGCCACCACTGTTTGCTATTCTAAATCCTCCTGGCAACAACAACTCCGGCAAAAAATTATTTGAACTAGATCCAGGCAGCTTCCAGGGAGCCAAAAATGCAATACAGTCGCCTTTGTGTTATTATGCCTGAAAGTCTTCCTATTCTTAAAAGATTATCCTTCTCTTGTGCGAAAGATGGATACAGTTCTCCCCCCTTATCCACAGGGGATACGTTCCAAGACCCCCAGTGGATGCCTGAAATTGTGTATAGTACCTAACCCTATACTGTTTTTTCCCTATACGTATATACCTATGATGAAAGTTTAATTTATAAATTAGGCACAGTAGGAAATTAACAACAATAACTAATAATAAAATAGAGCAATTATAACAATATACTCTAATAAAAGTTCTGTGAATGTGGTCTCTCTCTCTCTCTCTCAAAATATCTTATTATACGTACTCACCCTTTTCTTGTGATGATGTGAAATGATAATGTGCCTTATTAAGTTGAAAAGTTTCATCTGTTCACTTAAAGGAAGCACTTCATGGCTTCGCTTTGGCATATCTGAATTGCCAGTATCACTATTCTTGCATTTTGGGGCCATTAAAATAGTGGAAAGGGAGCATATACCGTGTGGGACACTGGACAAAGGGAGGATTCATGTCCGGGGAGGGACAGAGTGGGACATCAAGAGATTGCATCACACTACTCAGAATGACGTACAATTGAAAACTTAAGAACTGTTTATTTCTGGAATTTTCCATTTAACATTTTTGGACCTTGGTTGACTGCAGGTAACTGAAACCATGAAAAGCAAAACCGTGGAGCGGGGAGGAAGACCCTTGTTGTTAAAGCCAATAGGAGCTTGCAGTGTTGTTGAGTTGTGACTGTGTTGCCCCTTTCACTCTACCCTTGGTATCTTTTGTGGCACTTAAAGTGACAGAAACTCTCAATGCAATGTGCGCCAGGATTAACCAGTCACCATGGCATCAGAGCTGTGGTTTAGATGAGGTGGGTCTCAGTTTAAAGCATGTTCATGTCTCTTTTGCCTAGAAATCACCTTTGCTTCACACCTGTTCTTCTTCTTTACCTAGGAAATAGCCTGCTGCCTTAGCTTCCATTTCCTCCCTGTCTCCTTGCTTTTACTTCCTCCTTCCTCCAAGTAGGGGTTTTTCCATTTGTTCCCCTCTCCACACAGATCCATTCTCTGACCCTTAGGCTCCCTTGTTCTTAGGTATCTGGTTGGTTCACCCAATGAGCAGCACAACAGGAGACTGGAGGGTATGAGGGCAGTGAGATGAGCTGTTGGCCTCCTCTGACCCTCCATGGCAGTCTCATGAAGAACCTGGCAGAGGCTGTGTTCCTCTGCAGCCCCGATCCTGGTGGGAGGGGTTCCGCTATGTCTCCAGTGCCACTTCATCTCTGATTTGATTTCCATCTCTTCCCCTCCACAGTCAGGACCTGAGGAAGAAGTGATGGTGTGCTCTTTCACTTCCTGCTTCCTCTCCCAGGCATCTCCTGTGTGTTGAGGGAAGGAAGATAAAAAGGGAAAGGGACAAATTTCTCTTCTCATAACTAGCAATGAGATAGTTTTGGTTTTGTGTGTGTGTGCTAATGTCTCTGGTTAACACTGAGGGCCCACTAAGGCTGTCCCTGGGGGTAAGAGTCCATATGGTGACTCTTCCAGGATGGCCTAGGGTACGCTGTGGTAACAAACCACTCTACATTTGAATAACTTAAATCAGCAAAGGCTGACTTCTCTTTCCTGTTACATGTCCACGACAGGTCAGCCGGAGTTCTGCTTACCGACTCAGGGACTCACACGGATGGGACAGCCTGGTCTCCAACGCTGCCAGACTCTACTAGGGTGGGAGTGCGGGGGGTGGACAAGAGCTAGAAGAAGGTCTTGTATCACACCTGACATTGTGTGGCCAGGAGTAACTTATATTTGCATGTGATTGGCCAGTACTAGTTGTGGACCCCCATTCGACTGGAAAAGGGCCAGAAAGTACAATCTTACCATGTGCCCAGAGAAGGTACTCTGAAATATTTGGGAACAGTGCTGACGGCCACCACAGGGGCACATGTGTGAGTTCTTCAGAGGAGTCAGCATGGCCTCGTTCTCTGTCAAGGGAGATCAGATTCCAGTCTGAAGACCACTGTCCCAGCCCCTTACGTTGTTGGAAGCATACTCCATGGCATCTTGTCTTCGGATCTCCGCTCCCGACAGGCAGCCCCTGGGAGGATGACTGACAAGATGGCTGAAGCCCAGCTGCTAGTTTTTAAAGAAGACTATCGTGGTCAAATACACTTCATATGAAATTTACCAATTTTATCATTTTAAAGTATACAATTCGGTGATATTTAGTACATTCACAGTGTTGTGCAACCATCACTAGTATCTAATTCCAGAGCATTTTCATCACCCCAAAAGGAAACCCTGGGCCCATTAAGCAGTGACTCCCCATTTCCCTCCTCCCTCCAGCCCCTTGCAACCTCTCATCTGCCTTCTGTCGATGAATCTGCCTATTCTGGATATTTCATAAAAGTGGAACCTTCTGTCTTGAAGCGCAGCTGCTTTTTGAGGTGTCCTCAGGACCCACGGGAAGCTCACCCAGCACTGTCATTCCAAATGGTGGCAGCGCAGGTGCTCCAGGCTGCCTCTTCCATCCTGCTGTCACTCCCATTCCCTGTTTCCTGGCTCCCAGGGAGAGCAGCGCCCCGCGGCCTGAGCCGGGAATAGGCAGCCTGCCTCCCTCTTTCAAGTGGCTCAGTCTCTGTGGGTGAATCTCTATGGGAAGCCCTCCCCCACACTGGAGGGGGTGGGAAGAAGGCACGTTCCTGCTGCACAGAGCAGGAAAAGCCACAGCCTCCCTCCCCAGCCCTTTCTGCTAATCACTCCGATTCCCCGCTCCCCAGCAGAAGTGCTTACATAGCTTGAGGTGGGGGTGATTATAGTGGAACCACAGTTAATTAGCCCTGGGGGAGTGTGGCATCTGGCTCCATCCCCCCGCCCCCCCCCTATTCTTTATGTGTTTTTTCACTGCTGTTATTTTCAGCTGTAGAGCCAAGTGCCAAGTCTGCCACAACCAGAAAGGTCCTGTTTGATATCTTCTTACACATCATTTTGATAATGTTCCTCCCCCCACTCAACAACTTTGTACGTCTCTCTATTATCTATTACGAATGGATAAATTCCAAACTCTTGACTTGGCATTCAAGGCTCTCTACAAACTAGTTCCAATTCAGCTTTCTGGTTGCCTCTCTCCCTGCCCCCAGCACAAACCCTGTTCCTTTCGTGCTGGCCTCCTCACTGCCCCCAGAATGCTTTACTCAGTTTGGGTTGGGGTCCTTGACTCTTCCATCCCCACGCGGGATGTGCTTTCTCTCTTCCTGCCTGCTAAGGCTCTTTCCCATTGAGTCCTCTGAGCCTTCCTGGACGCCCAGCCCCCTCTCCCCTCTGAACTCCACAGCCTGGTCAGCACCCTCTAGGCGTGTGTCCTGCCACCTGGTGTGGGTTAGTGACCTCGCATGTTTATATCTCCTGTGCTGGGGGCAGGGTGAGTTGCTGAAGGACTGACTGCAGCCAGCACAAAGGACAACCTGCTGTACCCTCTAGCCTGAGGTGTCCTCTGGAGGGGACGTGAGAAGAGCCAGGCAGGGCTTCTGTGAGCCAAGGCAGCAGAATCCATGTCTCTTCCTGGTTAGTGGGTGGGATGTTAGGAATGTGTGAAGGAGGCCGCTCCGGAGAGCTCAGCCATCTTGTGTGTGTGTGTGTGGGGGACACCTGCCCAGGTCCTGCTGGGATTGGGCGTCTGGAAAAGAGGGTCGTAAATGTTCTGCTGAGGGTTCTTTCAGGATGACCCAGAAGCACATTCGTGTTGTGACCAGGTTTAAACGGAGGGATGAGAAATAGGGAGAGCAGAGCGGGAGCAAGAAAGACAAACTGGGGAGGGAAGATGAGACAGAAACAGAGAGAAAAGGGCAAGGCAGTGTAGGGGAGAAGAGGGGAATGGAGGGGCATAGATTTAGGGACCCCAAACCTTGGGTAAGAAGCAGCAGGATCTCCCTGCTGCTCCCATCTTGCTGAAGGAAGGAAACCCTGTTGAGTGGCTCTCACTATTTTTATATTTTTTTCCCACTCCCATGCCCGGATACACCATCCCTTCCCCCACTCCCACCCCCACTAGTTATCCTCAAATCGCCTGCCTTAATAGGTCAAAAGCAGCCCCAGCCCAGAGTGTATTCCTCCTTGGCAATCTCCTCTTTGTGCTGTGCCTGGCTTTGTTTTTGTGTTTCTGGTTTAGTTTGTTTCAGTGGGAGGGGCTGACTTGTGTCTTGGAGAAATTATTCCGAGCCCTGGAGAAATGCCCAGAGGGAAAGAGCTGTGGCCACATCCTCAGTGCAGCCTGACCTTTCTCAGGGTGGCCTGGAGCTGCCCTGAGACCAGAACTTTCCCTTAGCTGTGCCGGCACCTAGAAGTGGTCATGCCCAGGGTCTGCTGCCCTAGACTCTGCAGGGGCTGGTGTAGTTTGTTTTTGCTTTTTTTTTCCTTTTAGGGTCCTCAACCAGGCCTCCCTAAATCAGGCTGGGCTGGCAGCATTCTGTTTTGACTCACTCTGACTTTTGCAAATCCCTTGCTCCCCTGAAAGTAGAGGCGGAGGTTCCAGGCATAAGGTGTTATCAAGAAGGTTCATAACACTCTGGCCTCTGTGAGGCCTGTGACATGGCTTACGTTCAGTAAGGATGGCGCGCTGTCCTCTTCTGTTGTCTCTGTATTATCTCTGCACTCACTCCCATTCATGAAGACCTTTCACCTGGGCTGCTGCTGCAACTCTCCAAGAAGCCTCCTTGCCTCCGCTCTCCCCTCCAATCCATTCTCTCTGTCGCTGCTGGCTTCATTTTCTTTAAGGCCCTCTCTTGTCATTCCTCTACTCACAAACCATCAGCGCCTTCCATTGCCCATGGAACAAATAACCAGTTTGTGCAAAGTTTTGTGCTTACTCCACAGGGTATGAACCCCATAATCTCTGTCACCCTTCCCTGAGGGCTGGCTTGGAAGCCGGGGGGTGGGATGGGGTGGGGGGAGTAGGGACAATATGCTGGGGGCTCTATAACCTACCTATATCCCATTCCTGGTTCCAGGGGGTGCCAGTGGAGCATTGGTCCCGGGATGATCCTGCCTCATAGCCAAACATCCTTTATACTTGGGGTTCCCTCTTTTCATAGACTTTCTATTAAGCCCTCTAACAATATTTACTTATACGACCTGAAAAAGTGAGGTTCTACGTGAACCTCCAAGTTTGCAGATAACAGTAAGCTGGTGATGGCTAGTTCTTGGCATGCATGCTATCTCACCTCTCCTCCCTTACCCACAGCCGATGTGGCTAATGCACTTTTGCTCAGTAAGCCCAGCTGAGGCCTCAAAAAATCTTTTTAACAACACTCCAGGCAGCCACTACCAATCAATCGAATTTTGCAAGTGAGATGAAATCTATCTGTTATCCCTACATTCATTTCTTCCAGGGAGTAAAATTTTAAGCCGTGTAAGACTGGATATAGGAAAACATGAACAGGTTACTAGAGTGGACCCACAAGTGGCGGGGTGGGGGTGAGGGGTGGGGGCTTACTATTGTGGGATAATCGTATTTTGAGATTTAAACAAAGTGTTTTTTCTCATTTGTTTGTACCCGTAGACCTTCCCTGGATTCAGCTAAAGATTTGGCTTTCATTTTCTTGGTGAATGAACGACTCAGCAAAAATACAAAGTGAAAGCTAAAAGTCTAAACAGACTTTTGAAACTCCTGGCAGAGATGGTAATTCAAGGCAAGAAGAAAAGCTTCAGAGGTTTAAAAGCCTAACTTTTGGACTTTCAAAAGCATAGCTCTTAAGGGGACTCAGGGCACAGAGAACATATGATGAGTTAAAAAAAACAAATGACAACAGGCAAACAGGGAAAAGCTAGTCTAGAGTGGAAGTCAAGGTGGTAAAGGAAGTACTCGAGAGAAGTGGGTCTTTGAGGAGGATTCCCGGGCCCAGCATTCCTTGGGTCAAGGCTGGTGAGGAATGATGGTGTCCCTTGTAGGTTTGGGGAACTGAGAACAGAGGGGGACCTGTGCCTCTCTTTCTTGGGGTGAGCCCAAGAAAGGGTCCAATACAGTATGGAACATGAAGGTCCACAGACAAACCCTCTGAGTTTTTCAAAGCCGAGGGTAGTATGAGACCTTCAGACAGGATCTTATGCTTCTGAGAGTGGCCTGGATGAGACACAGGGAGAAAGCCATAGGAGGAACCAGAACAACATGGCAGAGGACAGTGAGGGTGGGGACCTCTCTGTGATACCAGCATAGTAGATGATGACCTGGAGGACACAGTGACCCCTTCCCCTGACCTATCGGGAACCTTGAGGAAATGAGAATCTACAGGGATCCTGAAATTCCCGAGATGAAATTTCTGCCATTGAGCATACTGGAGCTGAAGAGGGAACTTAAGCTTAATCACAGAAAAGGAAAGAAAGTTACATTGTGGGCACATTTTAGCTGCTATTTATATGCATTACACATAGAAAGACATTCCCCAAACTATAATTATGAGGTGACAGACATTTTCTGGCTCTTGACTGTGGCCTGGGAAGTGTATTGATGGTCGCTTTTACGGAGCTCCCTGCAAGGGTCCCCTGTACCTGGAATACTGGGTGAGGAACTGGTCGCTGTGTTTCAAGAAGGACCTACTGTTTCAGGGAAGATTCAGGATGGCCAGTTCTGAGAGGAGCAGGGACCTTGGCAGGGACAGAGCTGACACGCAGTACAGCTGTGCAGTCGTGACTGTGGCCGAGAATGCACACTGCTGATAGAAAATTTAACCAGAGCCGGCAAGGGTGGGAGCTGGGCCCCATGGATTGTTCGTGAAGTCCTGGAGACTATAGTATATAAACTAGGCCAACTCAATGGGATTGGAGAGAAGAAAAGATAGCACAGCTCACAGAGGATAATATATCTCAGGGCCTGTTAGCCCTGTGAGAATACACAGGTTGGAAATACAGATATTTTAAAGAAGCGATTAGTTTAGGGTGTCTTAACCTTGGCATTATTGGCATTTTAAGTCAGGTAATTCTTTGTTATGGAGGAGAGGACTGTCCTGTACATTGTACCATGTTTAGCAGCATCCCTGGCCTCTGTACTCATTAACTGACAGGAGCACCCTGCCCCCGCCCCACCCCAGTTGTGATAGCCAATAATGTGTTCAGATATTGCCATATGTCTTTGGGCGGGTAAAATCACCCACAATGGAGAACATTGGTTTACTTTAATGTTCCCAAATGATGGATCGATCACAGAATAGGGGTTGTGCAAAAAAAAAAAAAAAAAAGTGGGGTCTGTAGTTAAGGAAGTCTGAGAATGCTGAGTTAAAACAAGCAAAACAGGGCCAGCCGAGTGGCGCGATGGTTAAGAACTCGCTTGGGATGCCAGAGGGCCCCGGTTTGGATCTCACATATGAGGGCCAGTGACACTGCCCTCCACAGCTAAGATGCTGAACAACAGCTCAA